TCACCACTGCCTCGGAATCGGACTGGCTGAGAGGACAGATGGGATTGTCTTGAGCGGAGATGACAAAGGCTGGGGGCACATGAATTAGCTCTTAGCCGTTAAATTCAAGGTGTTAAGGCTCTTAGCTTGCAGTTGAATAGAAAGGTTGGTGGGCACAGGAAAGAGCTATAAAATTTTATTTAGAGTCTGGGAATGTAGGACAATTATTAGAGAGCTTGGCTAGCCTGCACAAAGCCCTGGGTTGGATTGTGAGCACTATAGAAACTGGGCAGGATGGTGCAGGCCTCTAACCCCAGAACTTGGGCAATGGTCACAGGAAGGTCAGGAGTTCGACGTGATTCTCAGTTACATGAGACCCTACCTCAGAAAACAAACAACAACAGCAACAACAACAACAACAACAAAAAAAAAAGACCAAGGCTTTGGGGTTTCTTTGTTGTTGGTTTTTTTTTTTTGGTTTTGTTTTTTTTTTAAATATTTTGACATATGACTATTTAAGTCACTACGCAAGGTACTGATTGCACAGACTCAGCCCTCCACCACTAAGAAATCAGGGAGGAACCAGACTTAGTGGCATGCCTTTACACACATTTATAACTCAAGCACTTAAAAAACTGAATCAGGAGAACCATGAGTTCAGAGTTAGCCTGAGTTGTATGGTATGGTATACCCTGTTTCAAAAACAAAACACAGAAACCTGGCGTCTCACAATTGCCATAACTCCAGTTCAGTTCTGGGAATCTGATGCCCCCTACTGGCCTCCAGGGGCATCAAGCATGCTTGTAGTGTACATCCATCCATCCAGGTTAACACCTAGACACATAAGTTTGGTTTTTATTGTTGTTGTTTTAATTAAAAAGCAAACTAGAGCTGGGTGGTAGTAGCGCACACCTTTAATCCCAGCACTTGGGAGTCAGAGGCAGGGGGATCTCTGTGAGTCAAGGCCAGCCTGGTCTACAGAGCTAGTTCCAGGACAGGCTCCAAAGCTACACAGAGAAACCCTGTCTCAAAAACCAAAACCAAAACAAACAAACAAAAAACCCTAGAGACAGAGAGAGGAAGAAGCCCTGGGATCAGCCACAGCAGAACAATGGAAGAAGGGCTTTCAGGAGGGAGGGAGGACTCCTTGCCAGCAGGTCCTCTAAGAATGAACCCTCACCACTGAAGGTCACTGATGACCCTGAAAGAAGGGTCTTTCACAGGAGAGGAAGGTTCTGCCAGAATAAACAGGTGTTCCCTTTGACAAAGCTTACTAGAAAAAGGCACATAGCCTGGGGGTCCTGAGCTGGCCCAGCAGAGAATACTGAATGGCTTCTTAGCCAGAACATTTTTGTGGGCCCAGTGGGCAAGCCATCTTTAGGGAAAGTGTCCAGAATTCTTGGCATAGAGCAGGGCTGACTATTCAGTTTGGTTCCCCAGGGCTACATTCCTACAAAGTGCCTGTCACTTGGGTGACTGCCACCAGAAGGTGCCTAAGTGTGACAGTGGATCCTACAAAGGAGCCTCAGAGTAGAGGCCGAGTCAAGACAGCTCAGGTGACTGTTGAGGGATCAGCTCGTTCTATCTACAATGGGCATTTCTGTCCTTTAGAGAAGCTGCCAGCCTTCCCTGTAGCCCCACTAAAACCATGACTGTGTGTTAAGATTTGCTCAGATCCTGTGGCTCTTTTGAGGAATTCACTGAAGGGCGAATGGTAACTGAATTCCTGTCCAACCAGGATGCTTATTCCCCAAACCTTGTCAAAAGTTACAGGCTAGGTGTCTGGTTAAGGGCACTTACTGTTGTTAATTTGGTTCCCAACAACACAGCTTACAACACCAGTGACTCCAACTTCAGGGAATCTGGTGCCTTCTCACGTCTGTGCACAGCTACACACACATGCACATCCCCTCGCCACATACACATAATTAAGATATTAAAAATCTGAAAAGAAAAAGGAAGGTGATGATGATGGTACAGCCTGGACCAGAGACACAGACTCTTTCCACATCCTAGAGACTCCCATCAGTTTCCCTTTGTCCTTGTAGTTTTTCTTCTAGGTTTTATTTTGCAGTGCTGAGGATGAAGCCAGGGCTTGAGCACACCTGACACACATTCTACCCTTGAGATTCCACTCAGACCTTTAGTTAGAACACATTCATCTAATAGAACAGCCTAGCCATAGTAATGGCCAGAGAGAGGGTCAAGAGGACCCACACACACCCAAACTCCATACACTGTCAAAATAGGATCCTGGCACCACTTCTAGATGTTTCTGGGCCAGTTCAGGCCTTAGGCCTCTTCATTCCTGGGCAATTGATGACGTTATTCTGCTGGTTAAGAGTGTGTGTGGGGTTCTGTTCTACATTTTGTCCATCCAGCCCTGACACATTCTAAGAGCAGCTGGGGTCACTGTGTCTGCTGATTTAGGAGTGTTCTGCTTGGGGTTGTGAAGGAGAAGGTTGTGTGGACATCCTATCTTTTGTGTGTTTGTGCTTCTGTGACAGTTGTCTCTGCAGGATGAATTCTTAGAGATGTTGTCAAGTTCAAGCTATAGACCCCTCATTTTGAGACAACTTGCCTTGTCTTAGTCTACTTAACTGTTATGCCCTATTACCTGTCCACCAGCTACACTGAATGTGAGGGCCTCTTCCTACGCCCCACACATGCAGACACACTGGCCATCATCAGTAGGGTTTAAGCGGTGCCAGTCTGAAAGATGCTAAAAGTTCCAGGCTTCCTTTTAATTCCTAGCCCTCTTTAGTCGCGTAGCTCAAGGCCCTGGACATGTTGCTTGCTAGAGACACTCCTGAATGAGAAAGAGGTCCTAGAGTTGGGTACCAAGGTCTTGGCTCTGGCAGATACCTTGCCTTTGTTGGTTCCTCTCTAGACAGGCACTGGGAATTTATTATAGGGTGCAGACATGGTTCTGCCTACAACATGTGGGTGGCACAGTAACTGGCGTACATGTAAAAACCTTAGGCGCAGAGTGCCCTCACCCTGTGGGTGAGCTGTGGCAGGTCACTTTCTTTCTCAGACCTCAGTTCTCCCCAATCTCCCCAGGGGGATGCCAGGGGACCCTTAGGACTGAGGAGTCAGTCCCTCTTGAGACTGAGGCATTGTTTGTGGCCTGAAAACCCTGGCAAACACCCACTCCCAAGAGTGTTTCAAATGAGTTCTAACCTGAATGTGAGGTCTGAACATTAGTTTGAGGGATGGGGCAAGACATGTGGGAGATCCACACTTAACCTGCAGAATCTCCAGAACTTTTACCTTAGTTGGCTCTGAGCCTTCATGTGTGTTGGGTGGTGGGCATGTGTGTATATGTGCCCTTTCATCTTAGTTGGCTCTAAGCCTCCATGTATGTTTGGTGTGTATATGTGCCCTAATAAGCACACCTTTTTATTCTTAGAGTGGGTCAAGCCCCTCTTGGCTATCTCGTTTTGTTCCCTGGGGTATCAGAGCCAGGTGGGCACCTCATAAATAGCCTGAGAAGCATCTCTACCCACAATACTTCTGCAGAATGTCCTGATGCACCTGCCTCTCAACTCTTGTCTCAGACTGAGGGGAAGGAGTTGGGAGCCATGTGACCTAGTTTTGGCCCAGTATATGAGTGCTTGTCCAGGGCGTCTCCAGATGAGGCAAAAGCCCATGGACCCCTTCGTACTCAACAAGGCCCAGTGGACTTCGGGACAACACAGAATGCTGCGGAGCTGCGCGGCCTGCACACCCTCCTCTCTCTTGTAGTACTGATGGTTCTCTTGGCACTGTTAGTGTCATTTTGTCAGTCTCGCATGGGACAGGAGACCCCAGGCGTGATGTATTTTCCCCTAAACTTCTTTGGGAGCTGATGCTTCTCAGGTTTCTTGTCTGGGCATGGCAGCTGTCACTCCAGACCTCAGGAGCTGTTCTGACAGGATCGGAGGCAGATCACCCCTATTTCTGTAAATATGTTTTGAACAAGATTGCTGTTCTTGAAAATGTTTGCCTGTGTCAACCACCTTTTAGTTTTGTAAGGACAGGATGTACCTGGCTTGATATTTGGCCAAGCTAACAAAATGGTAAATGTTGGTTTTGGTTTAAAGATGTTTTGATGTAAACGTTGGGAGAAAACATATTTGACATATTTTTACCAGAGTTAACATTGGAGGATGGGAAAAACTTGTTTGTTAATATGGAAAAACACACTTGTTTTTGATGTATAAATAAAGACAGGTGGAGCTATTCAGGGCTGACCATTTATGTGACACTCACTTGATGGACAGCTCATTTCTTTGCACCAACCCCCTTCCCAGTCTCAGGACCTGAACCCAGGCTGCGACTTGACCACCATAGGAAGGCCTTCCCAATTGTGGGCACTGCCTGGCCTGATACAGTGAGTTTGTTAGTGATTTTGAGACCCAGAGCCTTGGCTTTGGGCAGTACAACAGTCCTTGGTTCCCTGTAGGGAGTTTGCTGGGCAGAACTGTGTGAGAGAACTGAGTGTGGTGGTCCATGAGGCCCTGGGCGGTTAGACCCCTGTCCAGCTGGCATAGACACACCCCTGACCACGGGCTTCCTGTGGTCTTGTACTATAGCCTCTCTTTCCTGGGACCTCGGAATCCCTGACAGGCAGTGCCTGGCAGAGCCTGTCATTTTTATCCTCTTTAGGTTTTCTTCTTCTTCTTCTTTGGTATGTGACAGGGGGTTACATATAGTTCAGGCTGGCTTGGGATTGACTGTGTAACACAGGATGGCCTCAACCTTGCAGCAATCCTCCTGCCTCCGCCTCCTGAGTATTGGGGTGACAGATGTGAGTTACCACACCTGCTTTCCATCCTCTTTAAACAAAGGATCTCAAGTGTAATACATTTAAAAACAGGGTCTTCCTGTTCATAAGGGCAGTGTCTGCTTGTAGAAGAATCATCAGAAACCTGGAAAGGAAAGAAAACGGCAGTGACTCTGGCCCAACGACTCAGCCCTAAACATGTTGACCTTGTGTTGAGGGAGCTTCATACCTGACTTAGTGTCCTCTCCTACAGGGAAGTCCCACCTGGCCATCGTGCAGAAGGTGAACAATGAAGGGGAGGGCGACCCCTTCTACGAGGTGCTGGGCTTGGTCACGCTGGAGGACGTTATTGAGGAGATCATCAAATCTGAGATCCTGGACGAGTCGGACATGTACAGTGAGTTCAGCCCTCTCCACGGGCTCAGAATCCCATGGCAGCTCTGAAATTAGTGTCCTTAGGTAATAAGACTTCAGTGCGGGGGTGTGGGGGCCCCGGCCCACGGAGCCAGGCCTACTGGCCAGCCCTGTGCCCTTCACTGGTTGTGGCGAGGAGGGAACACAATGCTGAGCGCAGTACCTGAAGTCCTCCTCTGTCCTCCCTGTGGAGGGAGGCCTGGGAACTAGAGAGTCAAGTTCCAGCCTCAGAGGTCAGGGGTCTCAATTCCAGACTTCTCTTTTTACAGCTGATAATCGAACCCGGAGACGGGTATCTGTGAAGAACAAACGTGACTTCTCTGCCTTCAAGGATGCTGACAATGAACTCAAAGTGAAAATCTCACCTCAGCTTCTTCTAGCTGCTCATCGCTTCCTGGCCACAGGTAGGAGTATGGGAAGTACCTTCCTCATTGGTGGAGGTACAGTCACAAAGGGGGTAACCCTGAGCCTCTGGCCACTCCTCCTGGAGAGAGAGCAGTGTGAGCTGGGACACATGCACTCTGGAAGGGTTCAGGTATGTGCCCTCTTCTTTGTTCACCATGACTGGCTATCACAGACTTCCAGGAACAATCTAGCTAACAAAGCAAGCACTGAGACTTCCAAGGAGTACCTGGGAGCCCCAGGCCCTTCAGGCTGTGGCCCTGCACTCTGCTCTGCCCACTCCTGGCCTGCTCACCTGCCCTGAGGAGCCTGTTCCCAACACCAGCTTACTCGCTAGTTTCCGCCTGTGCAGGGGAAGACCTTGTGCCCCAGGTCAGCCTGCAGAGCTGACTTGTAAATCAGTGGCATTTCTCTCTTATCACTTCTAATTCAGACCACCCTTCGGGGCCTGGGTGACAGTCCAGGAAAACACTGGCTACTCCTGCTGTCACCCTTACTCCAGCTTCCTTCTGGCCCACTTGCTAAAGGTACAAGAATTCCTTTCCCTTTGTGCTTTCTTGCTAGTAGTCGTTGGTGCAGAGAGTAGTAATTGTAGGAACACTTAATGAACATGCACAAGGGAAGAATGCATCTAAATGTTGGGTCATCTCACTTGACTACCCAGGGGAGTTTTGTCCTCATCTTACTGATGAGAAAACTGAGAGCGTAAGTCCAGTCATCTGCCCAAGGTCATGACTGTTAGTACTAGAGCCCTGTAGGCGGATCCCAGGGAGATGCAGCTTGAAGCAGTGTCCCAAGCAGGGAGGACTTAGTACAGAGTGGCCATGGCTACTTAGATGTTTATATAGTAGTGACCCAGCTCCATGGCTACCAGGACCCAGCCCCATGTGAGGTCTCCTCTCTCTCTCTCCCGCAGAGGTGCCCCAGTTTAGCCCCTCTCTGATATCAGAGAAGATCCTGCTCCGACTGCTCAAATACCCAGATGTCATTCAGGAGCTCAAGTTCGATGAACACAACAAATACTACGTTCGTCATTACCTGTACACCCGGAACAAGTCAGCTGACTACTTCACTCTCATCCTGCAGGTGAGCACAGGCCACTCGCCCCTCCAACGCCTGCATCTCCCCCTTCCGATGGGCCCTTGGAGAGTGTGCAGCCTACTCTTGAACCTGTGCTCCAGGTGCCACTTTTGTGCCTACAGGTCAAGGCCTTGAACACTGCCGGGCTCTGGGGCCAGGGTTCACACCTCTCGGTTTTGTAGAGCCGCCCAGTTTAACTCCTCTCTTATTGCCACACAGGCTTCAACCCACCTGTCTAAGCCATGTTGTAATCTTAACCCCATGTTCTTCCAGGGGAAGGTGGAAGTAGAAGCAGGAAAGGAGAACATGAAATTTGAGACGGGTGCCTTCTCGTACTATGGGACCATGGCCTTGTCCTCGGCAGCCTCGGGTGAGTTGTGGACCAGGTCCCTGTGACCTACTGACACTTGTAAATTAAGGGCAGCCTTGATGGCTCATAGCAGAAGGAGGCAGGTAAGGGTCAGAGCTGCCAGGCCTAGGGGAAACAGGATGACCTTTCCCATTGGAAGGCTGAGGACAAGAGAGGCAGAGAGAGTGTCCTGAGGTAGTGAGGGGAGGGACTGGCTGCTGCGAGGATTGCGGACAGCCTGATGAGATTAATGGACCAGTGGGAACTCCTGTGCCATCACTGACTAAATCATCAGGGCAGAATAGGAGGCACATGAAGGTTAGGGACTGGGGAACTGGGGTACACACAGTACTGGTGTTGGGAGGTAGCTCCGAGTCTGTTTGCCTGGATAAGTTGTAGATGACTTTGGCTTCCCAGGGCCTCAGCTACTGCATTTTGTTCAAGTTTGGTTCTGATAATAGGGGCAATCATTGGGAGATGGGTCCCCTCAAGGATGACCTCTGGTCCTGGGTGGCTCAGGCGTCCCCTGGCAAGTCTCACCCTCCTGGACTTTCCCCTGTGTGGACACTCTGACCTTGGCAGGGGAGGGGTGTGCCAGCTTCCTGCAGAATAAAAGCTATCTTTGGTGCCTAGAGCAGGCTATGCCAATGGGGCATTGCTGTAACTCTTAAAGAATCCCTGTGCCACATTTGTCACTGTCCTGTCACTATCCTTTGACAAGAAGCGCCCACTGCATAGCGCCGACGCATCCATGAATATCAACACAGCACAGCCGCTGCATTAGGATGAGCCAGGGTGTTACAGGCTCCCAGGGCAAGATCCAGGGCAGACAAGTTGGGCTACAGAGCAGTTGCACCTCGCCTGAACCCATCAGGTCTAAGGAAGACTGGCCTGCTCCTACTGAGAGCATCCTTGTCTTTTTCTTAGGGAAGTTTTGATATTTTGGAATGGTCTTGCTTTGTAACTGGCCCGGAACTCCTCATCCTCCTGTTGTACCCACCTAATGTTTGGGGAGTTCTTGTTCAGAAGGGATTCATCTCAGTGCTGAGGTAGAGAACTCTCTGGGTCTTGGGCTCAGTCGCTTGACCCTAGGTCATCACATTCCATTTGGAGTGGCTGGAAGGCAGGGGAGATGTCTCTGGGTATACTTACTCTGATAGGGCTCTTTGATGTATCCTGATCATCCTTCCCATCTAAGAGACACACTTAGACTGTGCCCCACTTCCACTTTACCCTGCTTGAGGTAGCCTGGCCCACCAAATCTGCCTCTCCATCCTGTTCCTGTGGCTTGTGACCCTCCCCAGGTCACTGACTTCCTCCTCTGTTGCTCCAGCGCCTCCTGTGCAGGCTGGGTGTTCACCCAGCAAGCTGAACTCCCTGCTCTCCTGGCTCTCAGGTAACCTGGCATGCTAGAGAAGTGCACAGTGCCACCTGTTGCTAGAGCTTTGTACTGCAGCTGCACTAATAGCTCCCGTAGGAACCTGGGAACTTCCTCCTAGGCACACGTAGGGTCCAGCCTGATTCTTAATGGGTGTTGTCTCTGCGTGACCTAGGACTCAGTTTCTGGATGGGTCGGCCACAGTCTTGGAAGGGCCTTTCCAAGGGCCTTTCAGTTCTTGAGAAAGCATGATCAACAGACAGACACATATAATGCTCAGATAATGAGTTTGGGAATGGAGGATTGTCCTTACCAAGTCAAGTGCGCACGCGCAGCCTGTGTCTGTTATGGCCTGGAGGAAACAAAGCCCAGCTGGCCAGCACCCTGCTCCCACTCACTCACGTGCCTCTGCGAATGGCATGTCATTCCACCAGCTTTCTTAGACCTTCTCATCCTTCTTCACAGCCTAATGAGTAAGACTGCAGTACGGCAGGATGAGGCATCTCCGCCTGTTGTTCTTAGCCAAACTCCACCCCGTCTTGTTTTTGCTCACTTGAAAAATGGAACTAACACTGTACCCACTTCAAAAGCTTGGGACGGGAGCAGTAAGTGAGATAACTGATGTAGAATATGCTGAGCCCAACATTATTTCTGTTTTCTCTGTAACAACTAACGTGTGACATTCCCACCAGCAAGTACTTAGGGAAAAACATGCCAGATGCCACTTCTGGACTTGGCCTCTCCTAGGAATCATGGGAGCAGTTAGAGATGTTTAGTTTGAAGATCCCCACATGCACTACAGCTGCAAAGGATGTGGGAAGGACCCAGTCAGCCCTGATTCTGGCCAAGCTGGTGAGCCTGCTCAGGTCAGGACCAACCCAGGCCCCGACAAATCTAAAATTTGACAACCCAGTCAGTTAGTTCTGGTTTTATATTTTTATAATTAGTTTTCGTTGTTGTTGTTTTAGAGACAAGGTTTCTCTGTGTAGCTCTGGCTGTCCTGGAACTCATTCTGTAGAACAGGCTGGCCTTGAACTCACAGAGATACACCTGTCTCTGCCTCCCAAGTGATGGGATTAAAGGGCCACCATACCAGGCTTATAATTAGTTTAATGTTGTCCCCCCACCCTGTGTGTGTGTGTGTGTGTTTACGGGGATGGAACCCAAAGCTTTACACATGCTAGACAAATATTCCACCAGCCCCTCAATTTTTACTTTTTTTGTGTGAATTTTCTCTTCTTGTTTCACAGCACATGCTATTCTGACTCCCTGTTTTAAAAATAATAAATAAAATGGTGATTTAGAGCCAGGCAGTGGTGGCGCATACCTTTAATCCCAGGGAGACAGAGACAGGCTGATCTCTCTGAGTTCAAGGCCAAGCTGTTCTAAAAGAGCTAGTTCGAGGACAGTCCCCAAAGCTACAGGGAACCCCCCCACACCAAAAAAAGATGATGACTTAGTTGTCACTGGCTTTAGTCGTCCCCCTCTTATTTCATGAATGACCAGGAGTTTATACATTTGTGGCTTGAACCCTGGTGTTTGTATCTAAAATGGATGCTTTTCCATAAATCCCCTCATCAGGGCAGGCAGGAAGGCTCAGAAGGTAGAAGCTTTTGCCTCACAGCCTGTTAACCTGAGTTCAGTCCCCAGAATCCATGGTGCGATGAGGCAACCGACTCCTGAAAGTCGTCCTCTGACTGCCAACATGCATGTTCATTCCTGCACACACAGAGACACAGATTAAAAGAAAAAATAGTGGGACTGGAAAGATGGTTCAGTGTTTGAGAGCATTGGATCCTCTTCTAGAGGTCCAGGGTTCAATTCCTAGCAACTACATGGTAGCTCACAACCATTTATAATGGGATCCAATGCCCTCTTATGCCATTTGGATGTATATGCAGATAGAGCATGCACAGATAAAATATATAAAGAATTTTTAAAAATTGTTTTAAAGAATTGAGAATCGGGGCTAGAGTGCGAGCTGTTCCTGTAGAGCGCTGAGGCCCTGTTCCCAGCACCCACGTGGCACCTTACGATGCTCATAATCTTTTTTTGTTTTTCCTTTTTTTAAACATTGGATCTTACTTACTCTGTCACCTAGAATGGCTTGGAACTTACTGTGTAGCTCAGGCTGGTTATGCATTCCAGGTGGTACTGGGAACTTTGAATTCAGCTCTTGGGACTGCTCCATGAGAGAGCTTTTAACTAGTGTGGTCCAGGCCCTGGGTTCGATCCCCAGTACTGCAGTAAAACAGAGTCAGCACCTGTTATGTTAGTGAACACTGGCTAAAGAGCGTCTTATCATTCAAATAATTAAGATAGATATTTTAAAATTTTATTACGGTTTATTTATGTGTGTGTATGTGTACAAGCAAGTGTGCACTTGTGCACATGGGAAGTCATAGGTCATCTTGTGGGTGTCAGTTCTTGCCTTCCACTATGTAGGTCCAGGGGATTGAACTCAGGTCATTAGGCGTGGCAGCAAGTGCCTTTACCTGCTGAGCCACCTTGCTGGCATTTGGTGTAAAAATATTAAGTAATAACGCCAGTATTTTGTCTTTCTCTTCCTCTCCCCCTCGCTCCCTTTCTTTCTCCTAGAACATAAGTGGAGTTTTCATTCACATTAGCACCTTGTACATGGTCTTCCAGTGCCCTCTTTTTTCTGGTTTTAGTAGTGAAACCACTACCCAATCATTGTGATCGGACTGCATATTCCTAGTTTTTTCTAAGTGGCAATCACAGCCACCTGAGTGTAGGCACTCGGCTAAAGGCTGTGTCGGTCCACTGAGTCACTGGGCCCAGCCTTCTTTCTGTCTCCACTGTGTCGTAGCTAGCCTAGTGGCTAGTAATTTAATAGCTCTACAAAGCAAATCTGCTCAGCCTACTCCCATCTGCTCAAAGCCGTCTCCCTTGCTCTTCAGAGTTCACTTCTCTGTGTTCTCATAACTAAGAGCCAGCGGTGGTTGATTAGTTTCTTCTCTCCCCCTCTGGACTTGAGTTACTACCCTTGCCTGGTGAGGGAGGTCTGTGCTGCTTTTGAAGCCTCTGGCTTTCTGGGACAAGGGCCTATTACCCCATTCCTCTACCAGGGTTGGAGTTAACACACAGAGCACACCTCTGACCCTCTTCTGAGCATTGTAGGGTATGACATGTTTCACGCTGCCAAGGTGAAAGCAAACCATGTGTCTTTCCTTTTTCTGGAGATAAGGTTTCACTAGTAGCCGAGGTGAGTAAAATTCATGATCTTTCTCACCGTGGCCTCCTGAGTTCTGGGATTGCAGGCGTGTGCCACTTGGCTCAGCCTGTGCATTCTCCCTTTTACTACATGTATTTTGTCTTAGAATACACAGTTTAAAGCAGTTATGGTCCTGTGTGCCTTATAACCCCAACACCTGGGAGGCAGGTAGGAGAACTGAATTGGAGGCCAACTTATGCTGTGTGATGAGACCTTGCACAAAACAGTTTTTAAAATACTTTGCATTTTATTTACTCATGTCTGCATGAATATCTTTGCATGTGTGGGTGTGTACACCTCTATGTAGAAGCCAGAACATATCAGATCCCTTGTCCATTGAGTTACTGTTATTGACTGGAAACCAGACTTGACATATGAGTTCTGGGATCCCAACACCAAAAATCCCCATTGTTATGAAACAAGCACTCCACTGAGCCATGTCTCCAGACCCTCTCCCAATTGTTTTTAAGTGTAGGTCACTTGACATAAGTTGCTATTAGAACAGGATAGTGGTTTGTCTGTCAGATGAGGGAAATCATTGTGTTATATTCACGAATGAGGGGTTTTGTAGCCATAAATGTCTCGGTTTTTATTTTCTGGTTGGTTTGCTTGGGTGACATTCTTAATACTTACCATGTGACACTTTTAAGCACACTAATAGCTCACTGATCCCGTGCAGTTAGATTTTCTGTGTGTGTACTTCTGTTTGCCCTGAAGAACTGTGACCTGTTCCTGATGGAGACATGGCCCTAACATCCATGACTGAGGTCAGGCCACGAGCTGCAGTGAGCCCTAGGGCAGACCTGTGTTGATTATGTGCTGTCCCCACAGACCGGTCCCCAGCCCACCCAACTCCACTCAGTCGCTCAGCCTCCCTCAGTTACCCGGACCGCAACATAGACATGACATCCGCCTCATCTCTGGCAGGCAGCAACCAGTTTGGGAGCTGCATTCTGGGCCAGTATGTGTCTGACTTCAGTGTCCGGGCGCTCACAGACCTGCAGTACATTAAGGTAAGTGCTACCCACAGGTTTCCATTTCTGCGGTCCTGCCCTATGCATTTAGATAGCTCTGTTCTGGAGCCAGCATGGGCAGTTCAGACCTGAACACTTTTTTTTGGCGGCGGGGGGGTCTTTAAAAAAAATTAGATGTCACTTACTGTATTTCTCTTTTTGTGCTGGAGATCTAACCAGGTCCGCATCCATGCCAGGCCAACAGTGTACCACTGAGCTCTAGTCCTAGCCCTTCTTGTATTTTTGTTTCCTTAAGACATGGTCTGACTGTGTAGTCCAGGCTGGCCTCAAGCTCTGAAAGCCTCCTGCTGCAGCCTCCTGAGTGAGGGGATTACAGATACTGTACCATCATGCCAAGCCTAGGACAATTGATGATGATGATGGTGAGACATGCATGTATGCGTGAGTGCGTTTGTGTGTGTGAGTGTGTGTGTGTGTGTGTGTGTAGGTCAAAAAGGACAAAGAACAAGGTTAGTTCTCTCTCTTCACTTTTACATGGGTTCTGGGGATTGAACTCAGGTCCCCAAGCCTGTGTTGCCGGTGTGTTTCCCTACAGATCCCTCCTGCTTACCTCTGGAACACTCACTTCTCCTTCCAGCTCTTTGAGAAGGACCCACTTGGCCACATGTCTCCTGACCCAATCTAGCTGGATCTTCACACCTCAGCCCTGCTTCTCACACTCATCCTTCTCTCTCTTTCTCCTCCTCCCTCCGCAGATCACAAGGCAGCAGTACCAGAATGGGCTGCTGGCCTCCCGCATGGACAACAGCCCTCAGCTCACCTTGGACGGCTGTGCCACCTGCTCAGAGAACTTTACTGAGAAGTCTGAGCTCCCTGTGGTGGATGAGACCACAACTCTTCTCAATGAGCGCAACTCCTTGCTGCACAGAGCCTCCCAGGAGGGCGCCATCTGACAGGAGGGCCCGGAGACTCCTGCCCACCCTGCGGGGGTCTCCCCAGTGGGCCCACATGACGTCAGGGAACCTGTTAGGCTAGAAGGGGTGCAGGTAGATGTCCTGCCTGACTGAGCGACTAGACATCCCTCCCAGGGGATCTGTCTGCAGATGGGGACCTCTTAACAGCTCTGACATGATGCCTGCCCAGCCCAGCTAGTGAGCAAAGGCTGTTTTTGTCTTTTTTTTTTTAAAAACAAAACAAAACAAAACAAAACACTGAGAGAACTTTTAAGCTAGGCTCATTGCTCCTCTTTTTAAATGTCATTTTGGGAAGGGAAGACAGGGTTAAGGAACTTTATGTATAAAAAAAAAAAGAAAAGAAAAAAAAGAAAAGCATTTTTTTTTTTCAAGAAACCATACAAACTTTAAAAGGGGAAAAGGGTTCTTCACCCCAGGAAATAACAGCCATAACCTGTTGCTGGCCAAGACCTCTCAGCCTGTGTCTGTCGCTCTAGGAACCACTCTTTTGCAGCAGTGGGGCCTGGAGCCTACAGGAGGGGACTCCTGGGAGGAAGACAGTTCTACCTAGGAAGCAGGGATCCAAATGATACTGACATCAACTGCCAGGACACATGCACTGAGGTTGAAAGGTGCTGGGTAACCGACCAGGGACACGATGGCCCCAGCAGCAGAGAGGAAGACATCAACTCTTGTCAACTACCGGATCCAGTGAGCTCCTAAAACTCTGTCCACAGGCTTTCCTGGTGAGTGGGGACTCCGCCGAGAACCACCCCCTGGCTCTCCTCTTCCCCTTTGGACAATTTTCTCTTGTAAGGGTCTGACTCCAAGAGTGAGGCATGGTCTTTGGCTCTACGGTTGCTTATCTGCTTCTTGGCCATGCCCTCCGTTTTACCAAAGGTCTCCTCTCAGGGGACGGCACCTACATTAGAAGTGACTTAGCTACTCCTTTTGGTTCCAGGGCTGAATCTGACTGTAGGTATATGAGTTACCCACCCATAGCTGCAAGAAGAGTCAGGGTTCTGCAGTTCCCCCAGGAAGACTTTTTCCCCAGATCCCCATTGTTCTTTCTATACTCATCCTTCTAGGGACTGGGGACAGGACACGTTGGAAGTCACCCAAGCTGGGGCATCACACCCTTGCCTGTAGCTAGCTGAGGATCATCTGACCTCACTTGCCCACTTAAGGACCCTCTGCCATTAGGGTTTCACCTAATGGCATGTAGTGGATAGCCCAGTTCTCTTTGTCTGAGGATTACCGTAGTGAGAGGGCAAAGCTAAGCTTGGGCTGACGCTGTTGGTACTGCTGAGCATTGCACACCATGTGAAATCCTACTCCAGTGCCACCCTAGGAACCCTAAGTGGAATCAGACCATGGGGCAGAGTTCTACAACTTTATTGTAAGGAGACTTAAGGACCATGGGCCACATCTTCCCTTTTGTTAGGAAGAATAGGAGCTGGGTTGTAAGATCCAGGCAAGTAAGAACGTGGCCTTTGGTGACATTTAGTCACTCTTTGTCTTAGCTAGTGGAGTTCTGTCACCCCAAACGCTGCTGTGTATCCAGAGAATCCTCACTCCCAGGACCGGGGTGTCTTGTACCGCTGGCCAGTCTGAGGTCTCCCCCACTCACAGAATTTACTCCTAGAAGCCTGGAGAAGAAGGTGGTTTTCAACTCTAAGGGAAAAGACACCACACCACCGTGTCCTTAAGAAACCCTTAGTTTTCTGTAGGTGCAGCATGCTCCCATGTCCCAGCTGTGTTCCCGAGAGACCTAAGTGCCAGGTAGAGCAAACCCACGTGGTGGGTGTGAGGCAAAAGTAGCAGGTACACACACTTCCACAGCTACCTCTCTGCGTACACAGTTACCACCAACAGGCAGGCCTCTCCCTCCCAGCCCTTCTCTCCGTCATTTAGAATCACTTCTTGCAGAGGGTCATAATTATTTCCAAATATTACTGGTCTGATGACTTCCTCCTCCCAGTGCAATTTTTCACTTTCTCTTCCAACCTCTGGTTCCTGGGCTTAGCCATACCCTGGAACTGGCCTGGTCTGTATGTCTTCCCAGGTCAGGAAGACTTCGCAGGTGGCATCCAAATGGGGAGGCAAGTCACAGTCGCCGTAGCAAATGACTCCTATTTATTTTGCATTAAGATTTTAATTTGTATATTTTTGTGATTTATTTTGACATTGTTATGAGTTTGACTCTCGGGGAGTTTTGTTGTTATGACTCTTGTGTCTTTTGTCACAAAACAATGATAATATTTGCTAAACAATATATGGAATTTATTTTTGATTGGTAATAAAAAATGAAATGCATATAAGTCTTGGTGAGCATATAACTCGGGTGTTTTGCTTCTGAACACATTTACTGTATGTTGTAGAGACAGAAGTGACTGGTTGTCACTTGTGACAGGACAAGGGCAACTGAATATTCTGGAACTGTTTAGAAGTGAAATGCAAGCAGAACTGTAATTTACAAACTATTATAATCACAGCAGTTGCCACAGGAGTTGTGGAGGAGTAGCTGCTGGCAGAAGCAAGGGCAAATAAATCAGATGTCATAGGATTCTATTCGTCAGTGCTGGAATGGAGCAACTGGGATGAACAAATTGCCCTTCGGCCCTCTCTGGGGGATGAGGGCTGTTTGGCTACTTGTGTATATTGATGGCCTGGCGGAAAGTCTCCATCTCCTGAGACAGCTGACTGAGGGTTTCTCTGCTGTATCCCTCAGATTCGCAGCTGTGGAACCCTTTTGTGGCTTGCATACTTACTGAAAACTAGCTTGTGCAGTTCTGTGCTCCAAGGCCCGAGAATCAAACAAGCAAAGCTCAACATTAAACTGGAAGTTGTTGTGCTTGAGAGGGGGTCTCACTATGGAGTATCAAATTGGTGGGGATCCCCTCGCCTCCACCTCCTGAATGCTAGGAGTGCAGGTCTGTACTGCCATACCTACAGTTTTTGATTTTGTTTTGAGACAGGGTTTCTCAGAACAAATTATGTACCTCTAACTGTTCTAGAATTTGCTACGTAAACCAGGCTGGCCTCGAACTCAGAGATCCACCTACCTCTGCCTCCTGAGTGCTCGGATTAAATGCATGTGCTCATGCCTAGTTCTGATTTGAGACAAGATCTTGCTATATACAAACTGGCTGGTCTCCATTTGCCTTCCTTTCTTCCATTACTCTGGTTGAGCTGGACATGCTAATACATGTAATCGAAGCACATAGGAGGTTGAGTCAGTAAGATCATGAATGTGAGGCGTGCCTAGGCTGTATAGGAAAACCCTGTCAATGGTGGGGGGCATAAGGAGGAAAGCACTGGGGTAGGCAAGAAGGAGAATATCCCAGATGAAAGGGTAGCATAGATATAGGGATTCAGGGATGGGAAGAGATGATATCTGTCCATCCCAAAGATGGGTTTGGTGCTACGCACCAGCCGATACCAACCCATCAGCTGATTTGTGAGGAAGAGCCCCTGAAGGGATCATCATCCAAGGCCTTCTACTTGCTGTCACTTCCACCTAGCGAGTCTGTAAGACTTGCCCCACGTTTCATCTAAACCTCTGTTCAAATGTCACCTCCTTAGAGAAGCTTTCCTTGATTACCTTCGCTTCAGAGAACATCTCCTCAATGTTTCCTTATTTTCTCTTTTAAGATTCACTAATTTTATCTTAAAAATCATAAAATGTTTCTTACAAAAGAGCATTACATTCTGCACACAGCTCTGAACAAATGCCAGGGACACGTGGACTATTACTTTCCTCCCTGTTCCCCCCACCCCCAATGTTACAGTAACCACAAAGCAAGGTGTTCACAATAATTACATGGGGGAAATTTTTTAAAACCACCAACAATAAAGAAAAATTCACTCTGCTGTGGTTTCAAATTTTAATGTTTGTTTTTGCATGCCCTCCCCCTCAATCCTGTAAGTAACAAACATACATCTTGTCAACACTACACCTCAGATGTGGAACACATATGAAGCAGAGGAATGTTGGCTTTTTAAAAAAAAAAAAAAAAGTTGTAGGACTCCTTCAGTTCTTCACTAGTCTTAGAAAAGCTTTCCAGAATACTGCTTCACACTGTTCTGCAGCAAATACTGTGCGTTCTGTATCTGGTCCTGTGTCTCTGTGATGGTAATGATTCAATCTTCCGATCCTTCCAAGGGCTCATCGATGTTGATCAGTGCTCCTGACTCATGACGGATTTGTTTAATCTGCTGACCACCTTTGCCAATAATAGATCCAGCCAAATCTTTGGGACTTTCCACTAGATCTTAAACTATAGACTCTCGTGTCTTCTGTTTTCCCAACATTAGATTCTGAGCGCCACGAGGTGGGAGGCTTTTGTCCCTGCCAGAGCCCCAGCCTTTAGGAAGATGCCTGTCCTGCATGCACCCTGTGTAGGAAATGCTTATCAAATGAGCAGATGAAAACCTTGGCTGGATGCTGGCCCAGTCTAATCAGCATAATCAGGAAAGATCCTCTGAGAAAGGGATGTTTGAGCTAAGAAATGCAGGAGCTACCCAGAGAGGTCATATTCCGGGGCTGTGAGGTTTTTGCTTTGTTACATTCTTTTATTCTAAAATTTACATTTGTATGTGTGGAGGTCAAAGGACAACTTTGTGGCATTGGTTCTCTCTTCCCTTCTCGTGGGTTTCGGGACTGAGCTCAGGACACCAGGCTTGTGTGGCTTTATCCACAAGCCATCTCACCAGCCCACGTTTTGTTTAATGCAGGTCTCTTTGTAGCCCAGGCTGGCCTTGGGATCTCATTTAAGCTGCCTCTGCCTCCTGAGTGCTGGGATTATAGTAGTTATGAATTTTAAGTAATAATAAATGTTTTTGCTGGGCAGTGGTGATGCACACCTTTAGTCCCAGCACTCAGAAGGCGGCGGCAGGCTAATCTCTGAGTTTGAGGCCAGCCTGGTCTATAGAAGGAGGACAGTCAGGGCTACAGAGAAAAACCCTATCTCATAAACAAACAAACAGTTTTGATAAAAACTAGAAATGCTCTGACCTAAATGACCACTAAGGAAAATGTCCTAGGGAGAGCCAGTAAGAAACCTAAATAAAAGTCAAGTGTCTCCACTGAAGTTACAATGAACCAGAGATGGGGCAAGAATGGCAGGGAGAAAGAAGAGCCCTGAACTGAAACACCACACTAGCGGCCTGAATTCTTCATATGCTCAGATACTGACAGTGTTGGTTTTCAAATTGTATTCGATCTTCTTTTACTTGGGGTTTTTAGCCTCAAAAAAAGTAGAGAGGGGGGGAAAAGTTCCCTTGAGGTCCTTCCTCTCCTGTAGGCTGTTCCTTGCTAGCGATAGCCCCAGACACGTGACACATTACATGCACACCATCTGTTCCCTCTTGCTGTCAGCGTTTTATCTTGCCTCGGAGACACAGTGCAAACTAAAGGTTGAAGCTACGCTACAGCTCTGGGACCTTCTTCCTAACAGGCAGCATGACAGTTCCAGTGCAAAAGAGCATCCATGGCTTAATGGCTTCTGCTGGTCGCTCGTTCTGTCATCCGCAAGAAGCTCAGATAACAAAAACAGGGCAGCAGAGATGTGATTTGCCGTCCACTGTTCTGGGTTACAATGTATAAGAGTCACCGCCAACTTTGGAAAGACTTGGGGGGAACTTTTAGTTTTTAATGTAGATTTTAATGGTGTGTGTGTATGTGTGCATGCCTGCATGTGGAGCCACCTGTGTGTAAGGCACACGTGAGAGGGCATAGGATTCCCTGGAGCTGGAGGCGTGGTGGTGGTGAGCCACCTGATATGGGTACTGGGAACTACATTAGGGTCCTCTGGATGAGCACCATGGAGCCATCTCTCCAGCCCTCTTGTTTTGATTTTGAGATAGGATCTCACTATATAGCCCTAGCTGGCCCTTGCTAGGATAACAGGTATGCTGCTACACCTGGATAGGAGTTATTCCACAGATTATTTTCCCTCTGGATCTTTTCTCATGGGCCTGTTTTTACACATTATCTTTTATACAACTTGTGACTGTATTGCACATACTTTTTTAGGATGGTATTTTCAAGGCAGTGAGTTAGGTCAACAGTCTTTTTTAAAAAAAAAATATTAAAGGGGCTGGAGAGATGGTTCAGTGTTTAGGAGCACTTACTGCTCTTGCAGAAGACCTAGTCCCAGAACCCACGTGGTGGCTCACAAATATACCAGTAACTCCAGGGTATGCAATGCCCTCTTCTGGCATCCTTGGGCACCTGCACACACAGTGCATATACACACACTGGAACCCACACATCTACATAAAACAAATCTTTCAAATATTATTTAAATTGGCATGTATAACAAGTGTACTTGTACTAGGACTTTGGGGAACGTAAAGAGAAAAATGCAAAAACGTGTGTGGATACCTATAGAGAAGTTAATCACATAAAGACCAAATGCAAAGGGTGAAGAACACGCCACCTGATCTGTGCAGTTGTCTAAAATGAGGACATAAGGATCCTCTGCCCGAGGAATCAGGATAAACTGCAGTTGTGAAGCTAGCAAATATGAAAATTTCTGACAGCTGCTACCTCCTTGCCTGGCTGGACGACCAGGATGTCAGGTCGCACGTCAGAACCCAAAGGCACACAGACTCAGTCTGTGAGCATCGCTTCTCCTTGGAAGATTGATTACGTGAAGCAGCTGTGAGGATTCAAGGACACTGATGTTTAAGGGTTTGAGTATTTACCATGGGTCTCCCTGTCAGGGCAACTTCCACAAAAGCAAATGTGTGTCTTGATGTCCACAAAGCAGGAACACCTTCAAGAAACCTCAGTTTTAAAACAAACCAATAGGGCTGGAGAGCTGGCTCAGAGGTGAAGAAAGCTTGCTGAGAACAATTCCCAGCACCACCTCACTAGTGACTCCAGCTCCAGGGGGATCCGACGCCCTCTTCTGGTCCTCAGAGCACTGCACTCGCACGCAAAAACCTCACACGCATACACATAATTAGAAAATAAATCTTATAAACAAAGAACCCCTGGCTTCCCTGAGTCCAGTTCCTGGTTCTTATTCATCTCTGAGCCTTGCAGGCCAAGGGGTCAACAAGCTTCCTTTCCTCCTGCACTCGCGCCGGGACCCTTAGGTCGTCCCAGACCGCCGCTCGGGATTCTCCCCGGCCGGCCAAGCCCCACGCCCCCCGGCCCGCCCCGCGCCGCTTGTTTACTCCCCGGCGCAGCCTAGTTCTCCCCGGAGCCCGCCCCCGCCGGCCTCCTATTGGTCGAAGTGACGCGAAGGCCTGCGCCGATTGGCCGCAGCAGCGGAGGCGCGGGTGAGTGGGGTAGGCTGCGCCTGAGGCCCAGAAGGGGTAGCAGGCCATGGCGGCGGCGACTGCGGCTGTGGCGGGTTGGGTGCTTGCCGCGCTCTGTCTGGGCAGCACCGCGGGGGAGGCGGCGCCGGGAGCGGGACTGCTGGGCTTCTGCATGGAGGAGGACAGCGCGCCGGGCGCAGGCTCACTGCGCGGAAGGGCAGCGCCAGGGGCCACTCTCTGCTTGCGACTCTTCTGCTCGGGCTTAGCCAACAGTTCCTGGACCTGGGTGGCCCCGGAGGGCGCAGGCTGCCCCGAGGGCGGGCGGGCTACCGAGCCTGACGAGGCGGCCGCCCCCACGGGCGAGTGGCGTGCACT